GGGCTGTACAAAAATGTTGGCACTTCCCTGCATTTTGGGCTAAGCAAATTGCCCACAACCGGGACCAACCGCAGGAGCTGATGTTGTTGTTGCTGCTATTGTTATTGTTGTTGCCACAGCCTTTCCCAGCCGGCGTCGACATTTTTGGCATTATTAGAATTGGCTCGAGTGTAGCTGGACTGAATTTTATGCATTGCATGAGTGTGGGCTCCCGACATGGCCGGATGACTCGTCTGCTTCCTAATGTCTGTCTGTCAACCCTGTTCGCTTTTGTCGTTTTCCATGTGCGCAGCCTGTTGGCCTCCCAGTCAGTCAGTGGTTTTGAAACTGTCAGCACAGGAGTCCTGTTCCATCCTTCATTGACCTAAGGACTTTCTCCATTATTGTCGTTTTTTACAGTTCTTAATTGGTTGTCCGCGTTGACAGGCCTCTTAAAACTAATTTCAAATTAAAATGTACCGTTGAAAACTAACTAAAAAATGTTTTACATACTGAACTTACTACTGTTACAAAAAATATCTGAGAAATCTTTTCTCTTTCTCAATTATCTATCTATGAAGTTTTGTTTATAAATATATACACAGTATTTTATATGCGCACATATATTGAATGCCAGCGTGGGCGTCACAACCAGAAGCAGAGGCAGCCCCAGCCTATTTAAAATTGAACGGGCCAGAAACCAAGAATGTACCGCACCTCGCCATAAAGAAAAATATGTTAAGGCAACAACAGGAAAAGAAGATCAACAAAGCTAATTGATGATATTTGTCTATATCAACTTTATCAAAGGTAAAAAACCAACAGAAATATATAGTGAATACATTAAATGGTCGATTTACTTTTTATTAAGATTGTATATTTATACAATAGTCGGCTGTGGTGTATATCTGCAATACTTTTATTTTTGTTTGGCAAATGTCGTCATGTTGTCTTTATGACTGAAAATTTTCTATGTAAGAATATACATTGTTGTTATAAACTAGTCAACAAATTCTTGTTGTAGTTTATTAAGTTGCTATTGCGTTTGTTATTTATTATATTTTTGTGCTCTTGCATTTTGCAGCTGAAGGGAAAATGTTGGGCAGCTTTTCAAGTTTCATTGCAGTCGGCTGCCGAGTGACGGAAGTAAACGTCATTATCACACTGGAAAAGCCCTTGTCATCGGTGGATTTCCAAAACACGCATTGCAATTGCATTTGTGTCGCCTTTGACTTGGACGCCGGACCTCTGGCGTAGACGATGGCGCAGACGTCTCAGTCGATAAGCTCTGTCTTGGACGAGAGTTAATAGTTCCGCAAGCAAACGGCAACCCAAAACGAAAGTTGCTGAAATGCAACTGCTGCAGACTTGGCAATTGATGGCGGAACTTGTAAACTGGGCGACGATGCCGATGCCGATGCCGATCCAAGCCATTATATTGCAATTATGCGAACAACCCCCACGGAAGTGCTCTTTACATCGTTTGGGCATTTCTGGCCAGTTCCACCCTTGGCGACCGTCAGACGGTGCACCCCATGACGTCGCTCGGGGTCCACAAATTTTACTGCTGTTTGGCTGGAAAGTATATAGGAGTTGCTGTTTTGTTGGCGCACGCGACTCAATACACAATCTTTGCACGCTTACAACAACAGCAACAACAACAACGCCAAAAACATGGCCACATTTTTGTTGTCAACAAATATCAGCTCTAATTTTTGTGCTGCGTGCCACTCGCAGCTAGTAGACAGCTGCAGCCGCTGTTTAGATAAAATCACTGGCCTTACTTGCATGCAACTTATGGCAGTGAGTAGAAGAAAAACAGATACAAAAGTATCTGTGAGTTGGGTGCGCTCAAGCAGTGTGTGTGTGTGTGCCCACCTTGTCTTTTGCGGCTGTTGCTTTGCACATTGTTAGTGCAAGTTACGCAGCTTTTGTCGCAATGTCAAGAAACTTCCAGCTTGTGCTGAGCTAAATAATACGTTAATTGCAAACCCCTTTTCCAAATAATAGCAGCAGACTAAAATGCTATGAAATTGTTTTTTAAATATTGCAAACATATTTTTGCAATGAAAGAACAGATATACTAAATGTGTAGTAGTTTGTGGAGATCAATGAGGCTCCATTAAACGCTTCGCCAGTCACTTTTTGGCGTATTTGTTCGATATTAAAACAAGTGTTGAAAGGAAAAAATTAGGTCGGCTGATACACGGCTTACTCCTCATGAGGATAATCATAAAGTTGGCAGCTTTCATTTCATGTTCAAATATTATGGAGAAGCACGAATACCTCGCTTGGTATACCCCTTCTTAAATTTCACCAACCTCCTTGATAACTTATATATAGAACTTTAATCAAGTTGCTTGCCTCAAATAATGCTCCATTTTTCCATGATGCTCTAAAAGTACATATGTAAGTTTGTAAGCATGTATCTTTAAGTGGTTATCCGACTGGGCTTGTATATATAAATATAAATGTATGGCAACGCTGCATTCGCAGTCAAAGTGAAGTAGTTTGTGTTGTTATTGTTGCGGTTCTGTTGTTGTTGTTTGTTTACCAGCCATATCTTATCGGCTTATCTGGCATACCAAAGGGGCACTGAATTGCCAGTTGTTGTTGATGATGCTGGTACATGTATTTCTGTGTGTATAAAGATACTTCAATTGAACCTATTGTAATTAATACGAGTGCGCGCTGCTGCGGACACTAGCTGGATGGAAGGGCGGAGAGTGTATTTCTCAATGCTGTCAGTTTTAGAACATTTTTTGCGGTCTATCAATAAATAAATGCGAAGCCCCAGCAAAGTCGCCATGTTAATGAAGGTCGGTGGAAACCCAACACACACACACACACACACACAAGACACATTCCAGTCGTAGTCTAGGAAGCACTAATGCCTTTTGGGTCTTAGCTCGTTTTGTTCGTTCTATCCCATATGTGGGAGGCGAGTGCAACGCATGTATTTGACAATCCAAAAGAAACCAGATACATTCAAACAATTTCATATCAATTAGCTATACGAGTGGGCGGGCGCCTTTGCTGGCGCCTCTAAGTGAATTCGATTAATAACTGGAGTCGGCGGCAGTTCGTCTGTTCTTTTTTCAAGCATTAGTCAGTGCACTATGGCGATAGGTAAGTGGCCCATTGATATGCTGTGGACACCAAATTTTATTTGCCTATATAGAGCATTATTCCTTGCGTTCGACAAGGTTTAAAATTGAAATAGTTTGATGGCTAAGCATGATAATTGCATAATGAATATGAATAACAAATCTTTATGCTTTGGAATGTTTGTTCATAAACTATTTCAATATTAACTAAATAATTTATTGTTTTCTAACTGCAAAACTCAATGCAAAGAAGTCTTTCTTCTGCTACTATTTACAATATCAACAACAGAATCATAATAAAGGCATATATTTTTAGTTGCTATTTTGTAGACTAACATTTTTGATCTAAGAGAGTAACAACAGGCCGCTTATATACGTTATACGTTTTCAATCAAGAAAATGTCTGAGAATATTTGCAGCTTATCCACTTGGAGCTCGCATTCGTTTTAAACGACTTATTAAATCTACAGTAGCAGCAATTGTCCGGCAAACTGTTGCTCCGCTCTTTCCCCAACAGCCCACTTAGCTGCAGTTGTTGCTGTTGTGTTCAAAGCACTGCATAAATATTATAAGTCAAAGTCCAATGGGGAAAACCAAGCTGGTTAGTGGAAACTTGCTGCCTTTTTTGCCCGGGATTTTGCTTCGAAATCAGTTTCTCTTTTGGTAGCTGGTGTCTGCCGTTTTGTAACTTTTACTGCTTCTTCTCTAAATTGTCAATTGACTAGGTTTTGTACATGTTGGGAGCACTTAAGTATTATGGTATTCATTGTGTTTTTTGCTTTATTTATTTATTTCGGAATATGATTGGTGTTGGCAAAGCCATGTTAGTGTTGTAATGCCGAGCTAAACGTTATAAAACTCTCTAGGAAATGGATGAAAATGAATTGAAGAATATTCATCTTCAAGCCACGCCTCGAGCCAAATTTAATTTTGGCAGTGAACCAAATCCTAAACGGAACAACATTTTTATTTATCTTACCATAGCTTATACAGGCAAATTCGAGAATATTTTATAAAAGTTAAAAATCAAACAGTTTAATTAAAATTGCGGTGTAGACCAAAACCTGGATTCGTATGAATTTTTCCCATACGCATTTACTTGCTTTGATATTGCAAATACTACGATAAAATTATAATTCGATGCCTAGTTAATATAATAAACTAAGGCCGCAGAAAGGCGTTGAACAGTTCCAAGCAAATATTTACAATCTGTCGCGGATTTGCATGAAAATTTGCTTGAGTCATCGGCATGGATCGTCGGCAATACCATTTTCGGAGGTCATAATTTGGCAACATATGTTCATGTGTTGTGCTAATATTATCAACAAATAAATATGCTTCGTAGCGGAAAACATTTACATTTCTAGGCCTACAGTTTTGGCTGACCCGTATCCTAAAGCTAGCCCCGTAGGGTTAATAAACTTGTCTTCGCGACTATCATAAATCAACACCTTTTATTCAGTTTATTATCTGGCATAACAAAAGCATTTAGCAATCCCTTCGTATGGGTGCTGAGACTCGTTTAAGCTGCTTACAGATCTACGTCTTTTGTCAGCCTCGTTTGACGCTTATAGATGTTGGCGAATATGATACTCGTATGTATGCACAGTTATTTTGATTGTTGAATTTTGAAAAAAAAAACTGAAAACAACTTCAATTAGCTGATAAATAGTTAAAATGGCTGGCAGTGTGCCCCAGCAAGTTCAGGTATTGACACTACCCGATCATTGGGGCTTGTACGCGATCGAAACTTTAAATTAAACTTTATCTGCTGTATTTAGTTCCTTAAGTAATATGAATTTTAAAGCTATTGCTATACATAGAAATCAATCATTAAGTGCCAATCAACGCTGAAGAATTTCCAATTGAAGCTAATTAGGCATTTTTTTTATGATCAGTGATATGTTTACTCACATGATTAAGGCGTGCGGCGATTTTGGCATGCTCCTCCTGGTAGGCCTTGCGGGCCTTCCGCTTGTCCTGTGACAGATGGGAGAGTTTGTCGCAGATCACCTCAAGCTGTTCGGCATTAAACTTGAATTGTTTTGCCTGTTGATCCAACTCATCCATAAAAGATCGCCAGGATTTTGTAATAAGGCTGCCTAAAATGAGTTCCAAGTAAATAGGCTTTAATAAGAATAATTGCACTGCAAGCTAAATAAATGTTCAATTTACTTTAGGCTCAAAAATGTTTCTCTTGTGACTCATGAACGATCAAATGTCGCACCCTAATTACCAACACATTTTGCTATCGGGAAGAAACGAACTCTACTTAAATGATTCATTCACGTTGTAACAGAATCTACTTAAATAAGAGCCAAAAATACTGAAGTGCTTTTACGGTTTAAATTCATACAATAGTCAACCTGAGCTAGCTAATTGTAAACAATTCCTGGTTGATAGCAAAATATGTTTGCACTTTTGTAACATTTTATTTACCTCGGTCTTATTACCATTATATCATTAAATCGAGCTGTACGTTCATTGTCAAGGTGAAACTAATTTAAAACAGGTCACCAAAAACATGGCAAACGTGGCAAAAATTGCCAAAAATAAAGTAAAACAAATTACGGGCAGCTGCAGCTTCTGGAACTATCTGGCAAAATGCAATATATAATTTCGTTTAAATTGTACACAAAATTTGTTTTGCGCTTGCACCGAGCGGATACATTTGCAGCCCAGTAGAGAAAAAGCAGCATCAACTAAGCGTTTGGCAAACAAAACTGACACGGAAAATCACACCAATTATTTATTTACGAGTATATGTGTACGTGTGTGTCTAGATGGGAGCGAGTAAAGGCAGCTGCATTTTGTCGACAGTTTGATGAGCTTAGATGGCAAGCTGCAAGGCTGTATCTTTCAGATACAAAAATATACGCATACATACATTCTTGTCAGAATGTTTTGCCACCACAATTATCAGCGCAATGATTGTTGACTCTTGTACAGGTAAATTCCGGGAAAGACATAAGAAGCGGCTGTCTAAATTGGAACTTGAAATGCGATCCATTCACACAGTTGTGAAGGTGGCTGCTATCAAATTCGTACCAATATCAACAATTATTATCACCCATTGGTCGTTGTCACGTTTAGGTTTGGTTTGGGCCAATAGTCGGCACTGAATATTCCCTGGACGGCAGCCAGCGAAAGTGAAAGCTTTCTGGCGCATCAGTCGCAGTCTTATCGTCCGCCGCCATTTGTGACTAATGGCAGTAGGCTGTCCTACAGAGTCTTGAGCCAGGGCTTTCGAAGCGGGCTTCACGCGCGGTAACAACCTTTTCTCGTGAGTAATGCAGACGTTTGTTGTTCAGACAGCTCAGCGTAAATTCCAAAACGTGAATATATGACGTAGGCAAGTCCAAGTACATATGTAAGTTCATCATAAATTGTAAATAAAATCAGAGAATTAAATGCACAATTTTCGATCGCGTTTGACATACACATTGAAGAATGTTTCGAACTAAAAATGTGTTTACATGGGTTGACACATATTATGCATTTTTTTAGATACTTTTATATTTTCTCAAATTTAAACTATTTATATTTATTTATATTTTATGCAAACGTTAAAAACAGAACTTGTCGAACAATTTATAAACGTATAGCTGCGCAAACTATTGTTACTCTTTTGATTTTCATTCGTTTGGCTTCAAGCCCATTTTAAGAATTTTCTTGTTTATCGGTTCAGCTTTTAGCCCTGAAAATGAAATCAGTAAATAAGGAGTTTTCCGATACCGTCAACGTACCATAAAACTGATTAAGTTATTAAAGTCATGTCATTTTTTCCGTCCGTCAGTTTCCCATAATTTTGAATTTACTATTACAAAGCTTGGCTTATATCAAACGTTTCCTCAGGTTGTTATATCGTATAGTTATCACATTTTAAAAGATTTATATTGACACGACTGCTGATACATGTCTTCCTTAAGAAGGCAGTACCGCGAAAGTGAGGAGTTTTCGCCACGCGGGGCTTTTTGTGTATGTCTGTATTTGCCGCAATATGCGCAAAAAGTTCAAGTGTACTATTTTACAAAGCTCTGAGGTACGGGGTATATTCTAGTCGGGTCCGAATAATTTTCTATTTGAGTTAGAGAACAAAAGCTGGGAGCACAAGTAAATGCTATAACCCCTTTATGCAATTCTGCAGTACACACTCGCATATCGCAGGCCAATCAATGTGAAAGCTCTCTCTAAGTTAAGTATATATGGTATTTTGGGAGCGAGCTTACCTTGCATTTCATCAGCCCGATCAATTTTCAGTCCTTGTTGAGCGACGGCTGTCAAACCGATTGCGTACTCCTTGTCGCATTTGGCTTTCATTTGGATGGATCGTTTCATGGTCTCCATAAGACGCAGTTCCGCGTCTTGACGCACGATTAGTGCCTCGTGTGCGGCGCGGCCCTGCAGGGCCGATGAAAAGCCCATTTTGGCTGCGTCAATTTTTTTCGAAATGCTCGAAATTTATAGAGTTTTTAAATGTTTTGCCAATGAGTCACAATTGCATGCTTATATTGATTGGGCCGGGCTAAAAATGAAACAGCAGTGGAAAAACTTCACTTAAGAGACTTGCGCAACACACACGCATAACCCAAAAGCACATACACACATATATATACACATATATACACACACACACCCGCACACAACACAAAAAAAAATGCAGACATATGGCAAACACTTGTTGCATGCCAATATTTATGGCCAACCCGCATGTGCGGCTTATTTCCACTCTCTTTTTGACACTTTGTCTGCTGATCGCACTCCGGCGCCTTCTTGACGCTCTTTTTAAAACGCTCCACTGCCGCTGGAGCTGAATCAATTATTTTTGTCACACATTTTGCGATATACATTTAAAGGCGCTCGCGCAGCCAAAATAAACTTTCACATGCAGTGGTTTTCTTCTTCTTTTGCACTTGCCGCGACATTTACTACATTTGCTAATACAAGACGACTTTTGATTAACGACATCATTAAGAATGCTGCCGGCACCGAAAACTCCAAATAATTTTTACACTTGACGCTAATTAGGGTGTTATTTTTTGCATGACAATAAATTTGCATGATTAAATGTCATTAAAACGTGTGCTTTTATCTTGTATTATTCGTTTGCATTTGCAGTTTTCATATGATTTTCCAAACTGCGTTCTTCTCTAGTTCTTACTATTTTCGTTACAGAGCCAAACTTGTTTTTCCCGCTTGCTGGCAAGCAAACAAAAATAAACATTGGCCCAAACGCGGCGACCTGTGAGGCAGTCATAAAGGAAACGACGCGACGTCAGCGGCGCACAGAGCAAGTACGTGTATCTTACGGATACACAGATACTGATACTGATACTACGCCAGACCAGATTCTGCTTGCCGCGCCACAAACAACAGTTTGATGTATTATTGTCTGTGCGTGTTGCTGTTCGTCTATATAGGAGTTACCAAGTCAACTAAAACATAAACGGGTTAGACAGCCGCAGCCACAGTCGTAGAGACAGCCACAGGCAACAGCAACAGCAACAGCAACAGCAACAGCAACATCAACAACAACTTCAACTGCGCTGGGGAACATCTGCAGTTATAGATAAATTACAACAACAACCAGAACGTGTATACGAAAGCGCCGTTATATGTGTATATACAATTGTAAATAATGTTTTAAAAACTGCACTAAACATTATTTACAACCCAACATTGACAGGCATATGTAATATATATGTGTGTGCAGTGACATTTATATTTTCTTTCTTTCTTATAAACTGCTTTTAACACGTTATTTAGGGGTTGGGGCTGTCACTTGCGATTCGCGTAATCGGAGCGCAAATCTTTGCAATACATTATCTATTTATTAACATAAACGTAAATAGATCTTTCTATATATGTTTTATCAAACTGTTGAATGCCCGCCCGACCCGGTTACCATGGAGACAAGTTGCGTATCGTAAAATGCTTCGATGCCTCACATGGCCATTTCACAAAGCAATCCAACGGATGCCAGAGTCACAGAGCCAAGTGCCGCACAGAAATCAAACCTTAACGTACCGAACCGAACCGAACCAAACCGTTTGCCTCGAATGCTCAGCGCGAACTGAGAGTCAGCTAACAAAGACGATGTTGACAAAGCCGAAAAACGACGCCGCTGGCGACGATGCGGTGAATGAGCAACGCGAGCGCCATAAGAGAGCTCCAGAGAACCGGTTGAACGTAACCCAACAAACAAATCGAGCATAACAAGAGTTCTTGCACTCTCAGCTAGTTCGGCAATACGAAGCGGGAAACTTACAAGTGTTGTTTTCATATTTCAACTGAAATTCTTTTAAACATTGTCTCGCTATTTAAACATTGAAGCCTTATCATGTTCTGTACTTTACCTCTATTAAATGTCGTAAACAGGTAGCTTGTAGTCTCCAGGACTTTATGTAGCGGTGTTATTTTCACTTCGAGTTGAAGTGAAATTAAATTACAAAATTATTTCTAAAACAAAGCTAATCTTTTACACTCGCTTACTAAATAAAAATATATATTGGTTTTGTGCAGTGTCTTTTTATCCATCCTTCCGTATGAGCACAACTTCTTTCAGCGCAATTAGAGTTTGGAATATATACTCGTCAGATGACGTATGTCATCTATGTCAGCTTTAAGGCTTGAATTATCGGATTTGACATGCAGACTACTCATAAACTCATTTATAGATTAGTCTAAAATATTTTGCCTACACCCATTAGGTATGGCAAAGCGAAAAAATCCTATCGCCAATATCATATTCATAAACTTTTAAATTTGTTATTCTTTGTTACGCTTTATTTTATTTCATATCATATCATGTTGATAATGCTTATAAGAAATTGTGCGTTTTTGCAAGATAATACCCAGCGATTGCCTTTGATTTCATTGCCGGGAAATGAACCTGACTTTGAATAGACACTGCGGTAGACATGCAGCCTGTTGCCCATGTAACTAGTCCAAACCCCGCCTGGTTACCTTTATTGTTTTGCCAGCTATTCATTGGTATGTGTGTTGTCTTTTGGATATTAGGTTGCCTGTCGCTGTCTATGCGACGACCAGGGTTTGTTCCAGTTGGTCCCAGACAAAACACCCTGCAACCTCATAAACTATTCAGCTCGCCTGCGACACTCCGAGTCACTTTATGAGCTATGCTTATATGCTTTAAATTTACTTGAAAATTTCCTTCTTTTTTTTTAACATCAGTTTCGTTCAGTCTAGGTAAGAATATATTTTACTTGCAATTTTAAGAAAGAAAGCACCGCAGCTTCATAATAAAATTAAAATCTAACTTTATTTGAAGCGATTGTTGTCCTTTATCTCATAAATAAAATTGAAATGTGGCGATAAATTTTAAAATACGCTTTTGTGGGAAAAGGTAAAATGAGGAGAATGCACATTTGAAATGTTTAGACAAAAGCCGATTACTGGCAAATACGTAAACCTTTAAAAAATTCGCCTTGAATTGAGCCTGTTGAATAAATTAGATAAAAATTACAAGATACAAGATCTACTTAGTTGAATTCTTTCCCCACTTATGCACATACTACATCACGACACAACATGAAGTCTCTGTGAACCAGGATTGGAAACAATAGGAAAGTGACAAGCTCTAAAATTATGTAATATCTAATGCTAACAAAATAAATTGCCTTGGGTTGAGTGCAAGAGCAAAGGAAAGCAAATCGCTTATGGGGCTGAAAGTTACACATGTTGACGAATGTTTATGAATAGTGAAGTTGTAGGAATTGTATAATATTAAACATTAACACTCATACACACATTCCATCAAGTATTTGCGCTGGCATAGAAAATATTTAATAAAGCATATGCTACGCCAATGCACAATTAAACTTAAAAGACACGACGCTTGTTGCGCTGCAAACAATAGAAATTCCAGCAGCTCCTTGCTGTTTAGCATTCCGCTCAGATGGAACGTTTTGAGGGAGCTGGCACTACCAGCACCCATTTATTGGTATGTGTAAGAATTCATATGACAACCACAACAACTATAAACACGGCAATGATCACAAGTGCAGCGACAAAAGTAAGAACTACAATAAAACGTAAGAATGCCCAGCGCGAAGACTCCCTAGAACCGAGCTCCTTTCCAAAAATGCATTAGAAACAAAAATGTTTCCTCTTCGCTCAGACCCACACTATGGTATATGCGTTCCTGAATATCTTCTGGCAGCCGATAATCCAAATCAGCGTATTTAACAATATGCAAGATTATAGTTTCTATAAAAGTTTAATCAGTTTTGGGAAAAAATTATATATGGTATTAATCTGTACATTTACGGCATACCTAATTTAATTTAATAAGCCAAACAAGACCGTAGACTGGCAATCGCAATGAAGGGAATTTCTGGCTGTTGTAGACCTTTGCAACCATTATTGATACAGGGTATAACATGTAAGCAACGGTAAAAATGCCCAAGCGATCTGAAGAGGTTTCGGAAACGCATTTATTGAAATTACAAGCTCTTGGAAACAACGGCTAAAGCCACCAACAAATGTAAACATTTTTAAAGAAGCATTTTTTTTACTGAAACTTTCTATTTATTCAATACAGAAAAAATGATGTGTATATAAAATTAACAATATATACATATTACGCACAAGCTTTGCTTCTTACAAATTCGATTCACACATTGATTCGCTCAATTGATTTTAATTAATGTTAATTTGATGCCTCGTAGTTCAAGATGTAAAAAGGAAAAATGAATATTTTTGTTGATAAGTATTTTCCAGACAGCACGACACTCTGGAGGAGGATTCAACAGAATGTTTATAAAGGTTAATAACTATTCCTTTTTTAACATTGATTAGATTGACTATATAATTTTGTACTTATCCAGGCAATTACTCGGCAATTACTAATGGAAATTTGTAAGTAATGTGTCCCTAACCCGTTGTCCGGGCCTTTGACGAAACCACATTAGCACCCGTTAAATATCAAACGTAACCGCAAGAAATTCTCATTTTCACACCAGTATAAATGCGACTGCTACGCCTAAATGGTTCACAGACAAGTAACACCTTCAGAATGGATTCCGTTCCGTACAACTACGAGGACTTTACATGGGTACCAAGCCTAAGCTATCGGCTATGCGGCTATGAAATACTAGATACAGGCAGGACACGTCGCCATATACTAATGCGGATCTATCACTTGATCTGCGTGGGCAGCCACGTCTTTTCTGTTTTGTTCATGATATACCGGATAATCGAGTGGGATTCAATTGGGAACGATGTCGCCCTGATCATACGTTATGCTACTCTGGTAACGTATGTCATCAACTCTGACACAAAATACGGAACCTCTCAACAGAAAGACGCCTTCAAACGGCTTAATAGTAAACTTTCGGCGCTCTTTCCAAAGTCCACGCAGGCACGGATCGACCATCGCGTCAACGAGTTCTACTGGCCACGCCCACTGCTCATGCTAATTGTGGTGTATTTTGGATCGTCAGCTATGGTCGTATTAGGACCTCTCCTGCAGTCGGGTTATATCTATCTAATGGAGAATCGCTTTCCCTTTATGCATTGCTATCCATATTACATATTTGATCCACAGCAGGACCCATTATGGTATTACTTTGTGATTTATGTTCTGGAGTGGCTGCACAGTACCTTGATGGTCATATCGAATATGAGCACAGATCTGTGGCTGGTATGCTTTGAAGTTCAGATATGCATGCACTTTGATTACATGGCGCGATCTCTAGAGAGTTACCAGCCTCACTGGACGCGTGACTTCGCCGATAGGAAATTCATTTCCGATCTGGTGGACACGCATGTCCAATTATTAGAGTAAGTATGTGCCAATTTGCAATGGTTAGTATACTTACCATTTCAGCTTGTAGCCTTCAGGATGACCTCAATGGCATCTTCGGTGGCTCACTTTTGTTAAGCCTGCTTACAACCTCGGGCGTATTCTGCACTGTGGCAGTTTACACTCAACTTCAGGGACTAAATCTAGAAGGAATTACCTACGTCGTATTTATGATGACGGCAACTTCTCAGGTTTACTTGGTTTGCTACTATGGCGAATTAGTTAGGATTTTGGTACCTATTACAGGCAGAATATTTGAAATTATATAACAGACAATTCATTTCTTCAGAGCACAAACATTACCCATGCCGCCTATAACCATAACTGGTCCGATGCAACGCCGGCTTACAAAAAATTATTGTTGATTATCATCACACGTGCACAGAGGCCGGCCGAATTAAGCGCCATGGGCTATCTGCCAGTATCGCTGGACATTTTTAAGCAGGTAGGTAAGCAGCAGAGCCAGGATGAGGCGTTTACTACAGTCTAATTTAAATCGTAGGTTATGTCAGTGACTTATCGCGTCTTTGCGTTGATTAGACAAATGATCGAATAGAATGTGGATGCTAACATCTTTCTTCATTTCTGGATATTTATTGCCTTACAATTCACAGTGTATCTACATAGTTCACGTTAAATACATATGTACTACGCTCACTTTGGATCCGTCGGTAACTTGAAGCCCACAAGGTCCGCTGTGTCTTTCACAGTGCGTTCGCCACGTCCATGATAATCCTTGTATAGCGCGTTGTATTTGCGCAGACTACTCAGGTAGGTTAAATATGTTTGACCCAGAAACATGGCCTCGTTTCGGGCCTTGCATAGCTGCTGATCGGTTGTTTCAAATTTTTTGTACTGCGCCAGAATATAGCGGGCCGCTAAAGAGTTTTTAATGCTGCCAGGATCATGGGCAGCTTGACGCAGCTCGTGTAACAAGGCACGAAGCACTTTAGTTCCAGCCATACTGTGGAGAAATCTTTGCTTTTGTATTGAACTTGTAACAAATAGTAAATATTTACGATTATGTGATTGCCGAAAGAATTAGGAATAACAGCTGCTAGCTACGGAGCTGCCACCTGTTCGCAATTGTATGTCATATTGCGGCAGCGCTGTATTAATAAGTTGGCAGTTCACTTCAGATGGTTAACCAGGGCGCTTACATAAAGTGGCCCAGCTGTTTTTAACTGTGCGTGTAATTTGAACTGAATGTTAAAAGAAATTAAAATTTGATCAATTTAGGAAAACCGACCTACTGCTTGCAATATTGACTTTGAGTCGCATTGCTCAATTAATTAATTTTGATAAAATACAATTTTTTATCAGCATGGCAATAAGTTTAAGAACCGTTGACCTAAATGGTTTTATAAAAGCAGTTAAAAAAGAATCACTTTATGGCAGCATTAAGAAAGCACGTGAAGTTGGTTGCGCTGCACCCAATTAGCCTTGCCAGACCATCACAAAATATATGGACTTCGATCGGCTTGTGTTTAGCTAATGTATATATGTATTTTGTAACTTCATATAATTTTTAAGTTGCAAAATTACTCGTAACAAGCATGAGCCAGGCCAGTAATAGTAAGTGAACATGGCGAATAAATTGACGTTAATTTCAAAATTGATGTTCCTTGGACAGTTATGCGTCTTGTTTTATTACAGTTAAAGGGTTCGAGAGACAAAACAGCGAATGTGCTAAATGCCATTAACAAAATTGAAGAGGCTGTCAAAAAGCATAAGCCTCGCCTCGTAACCTTACCCGAGTGCTTTAACTGCCCTTATGGCACAAAATACTTTCGTGAGTATGCGGAACAGATCCCGGATGGATACACCAGCCAGCAGCTCTCGAAAATAGCTCAGGATAATCAGGTCTACATAGTGGGTGGCACAATTCCGGAGTTGGGCGAGAACGATGCCGTATACAATACTTGCACCGTATGGGGCCCCACGGGCGACCTATTAGGCAAGCACCGCAAAATGCATCTGTTTGATATTGACGTGAAAGGCGGCATCCGTTTCAAGGAATCTGAGACACTGTCCGCTGGCAACGACTTTACTATCATCAGCATTGATGGACATAAGATTGGGATTGGTATTTGCTATGACATTCGGTTTGAGGAGATGGCACGGCTTTATCGAAACAGTGGGTGTGAAATGATCATATACCCGGCCGCTTTTAATATGACAACAGGTCCTTTGCATTGGGAACTTTTGCAACGTGCGCGCGCAAACGATAATCAGCTCTTTGTGGTAACTACATCGCCAGCTAGAGACACTTCTGCAGAGTACGTTGCGTATGGCCATTCTATGATTGTGGACCCATGGGCCAAAGTCGTCAAAACCGCTGGCGAAGGCGAGGAAGTTTTGGCAGCTGATATTGACTTTGCCTTGGTGGAACAAGTACGCCAACAAATTCCAGTGTTCAGCCAAAGGCGTCTTGATCTGTATAGCACCGAAAAGAAGTCCAAGTGATTTATTATCGCATTTATCAATTATAAATATTGAATACTCTTAAAATGTGAAATTGTTAATAGTCCGCTCGCTGAGGGGTAGATGCTGTATCCGACTCGCTAGTTGCTGACATGTAATTCGGGCGTTGTACCTGACCGAAAAGCGCTCGAATAGCTTCATCCGTGGCCATCAGTGGCTGACTAACAAATTCCAGGGCCTGAAAAGCAATACATGTACAATTCCATCGGAAAATTGCTACCGCCCATTAACTTACTTGCACAGCGTACTTCTCTGCATCACAGAGCGGGCTCGTTGTGGCGCTTGACAGCTTGAGCGTTGTCTCAGGAATGCCCAGACCTGAGTGCAACACCATGCGTTGTAGTATATTTAAGTTCTCTGCGCTTAGACTGATAACATCCGTGGCGGGCAAATTTAGATAGCGTATTTTGGCCAAGAACTTCAGCTGCTTTAGTATGTCTAATTGAATTTCCCGAATTTGATGTGTGGTGTGCATCAGTTGCTTGGTTGATTCGTTAAGCATTTGATTTTTCTGCGTCAGATCGGCTTTCCAGCGGGCTAGCTCCTCGACCATAACGCTGCTGGCCAAAAACTTGGAGCGCCATACCTCGCACTGGCTGGCCAAAAATTCGATTTGTTCTGTGTGTGTGGTTAAATTGTTGGCCGTATCGAGCAAAGCGCGAGCAAGTTGCAATTTATCCTCTGTTAGCAAATTGACGCGGGTTTGCAAATCCTCACCAACGGAGGCTACCAACAGGCTTTTGAGCTCCGCGTTTACCTGAGTCTGGAATTTATACTGCGCTTGAAAATGATCGCGCTCCTGGCGGGTTTTCGTTAACTCTTCCTTCAGTCGCTGCAGTTCATCGCTGCCTGCGTTGCTTGTATCAGCGTGCTTTACATCTGCATCCTCTAGGTCTAGTTCAAGGGTGCGCAACGTAGATACCTGGTCCGCAAGCACTCCAATGTCTAAATTATTTTTGCTAACCCGCTGAACTTTGTGCTTGGCTGTTTGCTGAGCAGGTGTCATGGAATTCACGGCACCTGGATATGGTTCATAAGGCACGAATTTCGGTGGCTTAGTTTTCTTATGCTCCGGCAGTGGTTCAGAGGTGCTCACCAGCCTGGGCTTGAGTTGGACGAGTTCACCCTTAGGCAGCACAGGTGCAAGGCTCCGGCTCACAACTTCGGAGCGCCGGTAGAGTGTGTGTAGTCCAGGCAAGGGCAGAGGCAACGAACACAAGTTGCCTACGGGTGTCTTATGCACAATTACCGCTTCTTGGACCACAGTACTATCCTTACGCGGCAATTGCGACCGCTTGACCTTATTAACGACTTGGAAACTGGCTGATGTTCTTTCCTGTTCTACTTTCGTAGTTGGTGCGATTTCGGTCTGTTCCATGCCGTCACCACTGGTGCGGCAAGCGTGCACCTTTTCGCCATCGTTCGTTAAGGCATCTGCATCCATGGCAGTAAAATTAAAAAAAAAAAACTGCTTAATATCAGTAAATATAACAATCAATTTTGTCAGCTTGTTTGCCAGCAAAACAAAAACAATAGAAACGAAGAGCTGCCAACTCGGTAATTAAACTGCGGTTGTTGCCAACAAACATTTTAAGCGTTGCCAATCGCGATTAGTTGTGAAAAATCGATAATTTTTGATTTGCCCAAAGGAAATAAACAACAAATTGGATACACTCTGTTATCTTTTTTGCCAGTGACGCATATTTGTAAAATTACAAGTCAAGAGCTTGCTCGTATCAACCTTATCGTCCAAACCTGATGCTGCCGGGCTAGTGCAAATTATATCGGATAGCATAAATGCTCTACCGGCAGCTGTCCGAGTATGTCGACAAAAGAGCGTGAGCTGCTTAGAAACGTAAATGAGAAAATCGAATTAATTGAGCCAAGCACTGGAAAATTGTTTTTTGAACACAAAACTGAGCTAGTGTTTATTAAACCGCGCTTAATGCCACTAAAGTCTCGCGCCTTGGAGAGTCTCGAGGAAATGCATCGCGAGACAGCTCGCCAGCTGCAACAAAAACGCACGAAGCGCAACAAGAACAACGCTGGTGAGCTACACCAGGCAGCCGCATAGGCTGCGGCCTCTTATTATTAAGTCTAGCACATTTTCGCAATCGTAAACAAGCACCTAGAAATGGCATACTTGCTGACATTCGGTATCATCGGCGCTTTGTTCCTGGCCAGTGTGATGCTGTATCGCTATGGCAACATACCACGTCAGCATATCCTTGTAACGCTATCCGTGCTGACGGCCTGGTGTTTCTCCTTCCTGATAGTGTTTACCATACCGTTGGACGTTACCTCAGTAGGTAATTCATAATATCACTGAATAAAATATTAAACAAGAATTCATTATTGCAGACGCTATATCGACAGTGTGAGGAGAAGCATAAACCGGTTCCAGAATCAGCAGTGGGAAACACCATGGGCAATGGCAACATAACAACTACCACTATCACAACAAACAAGTTGCACCCCGATGTTTGCCAGGAGCCTTGGGGCATGGTGCCAGCTTCAGTATTTCCAAATTTATGGCGCATCATCTACTGGAGTTCGCAGTTCCTCACGTGGCTAATCATGCCGTTGATGCAGTCGTATCTGAAGGCGGGTGATTTCACAATCAAGGGCAAACTGAGGTCGGCATTAATCGAAAACGCAATATATTATGGCTCCTATTTGTTCATATGCGGCGTTTTGCTCATTTACATTGCCGTCAAGGGCGTATCGCTGGATTGGCAGAAATTGAAGGCGATCGCCTCATCAGCTTCCAACACTTGGGGCCTGTTTTTACTGATTCTGTTACTCGGATATGCTCTTGTAGAGGTGCCGCGTTCGCTGTGGAACAATGCGAAACCGGGATTTACGCTGCAATATGCTTACTTTAAAGCTGCAAAGCTCAGTACGGAAAAGGCAGAGGCGGAGGAGCATGTAGACGATGTTCTCGAATCGCTGCAATGCATCAGTCGAGCTGTACCCAACAATCATGAGTTACGTCCGTGCGTCGAGACAATAATGCGAAAAGTACCCATTGAGCTGCAAGAACGAGCCAGTCGAAATTTTGCGCGCAGCGGAGGCAACGGCATGGGTGGAACCACCTCTACCATCGTACCCTCAGAGAAGGCGCTGGTTCGTATACACAAGCAGGTGATCAAATCACTGCAAACTCTGCAGCGCACTGAGGCACTTTGGAGCGTACAGGTTAATACGGTTCTGCATCTGGAGGATGTGGCTCGGAATATACACTCGGCGGAACACCGCTTCAAAACAGAGTTTCCCCGCCAACGCTCGCAACTGGAAAGAATCTGTTATAGCGCCACGATACAATGGTACTGGGAGTGCCTATTTAAGGCGCCGTTTCTCAAAGCGTTGTGCGTTTTAACGGCAACAATGTCCGCAATGGTCGTGTGGAGCGAGCTCACCTTCTTTAGTCGCCACCCAGTGCTCTCCATTTTCGCGAATGTTATCAATGTGGCCAACGCTAGCAATGACTTCTTTACCATTGAGTTATTTTCTATGGTGGTGCTGTGCTACTTCTTCTACTGCACCTACTCCACAATTCTACGCATTCGGTTCCTGAACCTGTATTACTTGGCACCGCATCATCAGACCAACGAACACAGCTTGATATTCAGTGGAATGCTGCTCTGCCGACTAACGCCGCCCATGTGTCTTAACTTTTTGGGGCTCATTCACATGGATTCGCACATAATACAGAAGGTGAGTTAGCATAATATGACTGTCATTACGCCATTATGCCATTAATTTACACTCGCGTTTTTACAGCGTATCATGGAAACATATTACACACAAATAATGGGTCATATGGATGTCATTGGTATTATTTCGAATGGCTTCAACATTTATTTTCCCATGTGTATGCTAGCATTTTGCCTCTTCACCTGGTTCAGTTTGGGCAGTCGTGCGCTCAACGCATTGGGCTTTCAACAGTTCTTACAGCATGAAACTATCGCCACGGAGCTGGTGCAAGAGGGCAAGGATTTAATAGCTCGCGAGAAGCGACGCCGACAGCGGGCCGAGGAGGCAATCGCCAGACGGCGGGACTTTTCGAGACCTGATACACTGTCTAGCCAGGATTACATTGGCAAATATCGTGGCGCTGCCGGCTTAAGTAGTGGGGGCATTGCTGGTCCATTGACCAGCGGTCGTACGCCAGCTGATGGTTTGCTACGAGATGGTGACGTAAGTTATGACTACGCTGCGGTAGCATCCTCCTCCGCGCTGAACGTACCACGCTCGCTGTCGGAAGAAATCAATGATCGTTTCGGTGTCAGCACTCAAATGCAGGTCGGTTTCCGTGGCGCTATCGATCAGGAAGATGCATACGACGAGGAGAACGAACATCGCATTGTTGGGCCGCCACCACGGGGACTTTTTGATGATGTATAAGCTCGAAAATTGCGTTGTCTATTTATGTCTATGTATACCTTTATATATATTATCTCAAAAGTTCTTTAGTTAGTTTAATTTACGTTTAAGCTTTCTCGCTGCTGTTCCTGTCACAAATATTGTAAACATTTCAATAAAAAAAATTGATTGCAGTCAGGATTTTTTACGCAATGGGTAACGTTTGGCAGGCTTTCTTTCTTGGAAAGAGTTGCTTTCACTAATACTGGCCAGGGGTAAAATCGGTGATTCCGCGAAGTACACCAAGCTACAAGGCTCTTCATTCTCCTCGTCTGTGCTGGGCATCTCAAAGTCGGTTGCCTTCCTTAGCTCCGAGACGGGATGCGGCTTAATGCGCTTGCGACCACGTACAAAGCCGCATCTTGAGGATAGCGGCGTTTCGGGCATTATCGCAGACATGACCATAAAATGTCACTTTGACAGTCCAGACCCAGTCCCAGACGGGCCTGCAGCGTTGCCAGACAAATATGTAATTGGAATTGGCATCCTGGCAGATTTATTTAGACGCGGCTTTTTATTTGTGTACTATGTATGTCGCACCATCAATAGGGAAGCAAAACTTCTAAACTATGTAACAAATACGTAACACAAGTGGAAAGTGGTTAAGTAAATAGTCGGTCGTTTGTTTCTTCTGATTGGGGTTGCGCGCATGTGTAAGAACTGTTGTTTCTGAATCTTCGGTTTCAAACTATTCGTCGCCGCCGCCTTCCTCATCCTCGTCGAATTCGCCCTCCTCGTCGGCAGTGGCCTCCTGGTACTGCTGATATTCTGATACCAAATCGTTCATGTTGCTCTCAGCCTCTGTAAACTCCATCTCGTCCATACCCTCACCGGTATACCAATGCAAGAAGGCCTTGCGACGGAACATGGCCGTGAACTGCTCGGAAACGCGTTTAAATAACTCTTGAATGGCCGTTGAGTTGCCAATGAATGTAGCCGACATCTTCAGGCCTCTAGGCGGAATGTCGCACACGGCTGTCTTGCAGTTGTTTGGAATCCACTCAACAAAGAAGCTACTGTTCTTGTTTTGTATATTTAGCATCTGTTCGTCCACCTCCTTCATGGACATTCGGCCTCGGAAGATGGCCGCCACGGTTAGATAGCGACCATGCCGTGGATCACAGGCAGCCATCATGTTCTTGGCATCAAACATCTGCTGTGTCAGCTCGGGTACGGTCAAGGCGCGATACTGCTGAGATCCACGCGAAGTTAACGGCGCAAAACCGGGCATAAAGAAGTGTAGACGCGGGAAAGGGACCATGTTGACAGCGAGCTTACGTAGATCAGCGTTGAGCTGGCCCGGGAAGCGCAGGCAGGTGGTAACTCCAGACATTGTGGCCGATACCAAGTGATTCAGATCACCATATGTCGGGGTGGTCAGTTTCAAAGTGCGGAAGCAGATGTCATACAACGCCTCATTGTCAATGCAGTACGTCTCATCAGTGTTCTCGACCAGCTGGTGAACACTTAGGGTAGCATTGTAGGGCTCGACCACGGTATCCGACACCTTGGGAGAGGGCACCACCGAGAAGGTATTCATGATACGATCGGGATATTCTTCGCGTATCTTTGAAATGAGTAAGGTGCCCATGCCGGAACCGGTGCCACCGCCCAACGAGTGTGTTAGCTGAAATCCCTGTTTGAGCAAGTAATTACCTCGCCTTTGAAAAATGTTGATGAGTACCTACCTGTAGACAATCACAGCCTTCAGATTCCTTGCGAACCACATCAAGCACAGAATCCACTAGTTCAGCACCTTCGGTGTAGTGACCCTTGGCCCAATTATTGCCCGCGCCAGACTGGCCGAACACAAAGTTATCTGGTCTAAAGATTTGACCAAAAGCTCCCGAACGCACAGAGTCCATGGTTCCCGGCTCCAGGTCAACAAGTATAGCTCGTGGCACATACTTGGCGCCAGTGGCTTCATTGTAATAGACATTGATGCGTTCCAGCTGTAAGTCACTATCGCCGTAATATGTCCCCGTCGCGTCGATGCAATGCTCGTCTGAGATGACCTCCCAGAACTTGCCGCCAATCTGATTGCCGCATTGGCCAGCCTGAATGTGCACGATTTCACGCATGATTACGACTACGAGAAACAATGAAATTCAATTTTGCTGGAAATATTTTTCCGAATTTTCTGGAGAGCAATTCCTATTTGGAAGGCAGAAACCGATTTAAATGATTTTTACGTATAATTTTCTTACTTTTTCTCTATACGTGTATCGTAGTCGAGTCGATGTTGGAATGAGACTGGCACAACTTAAAAATGCTAATGTCCTATGCTAGACTACTTCGATCCTTCAAATTTTGAAAAGTGTACAAATTTTTTTTAGGTTTAGGTGTGTGGAAATACATACATACATATATTTATTTTACCGATTTATTAATAATACAGGCTGTATAGTTTTAATTGATAGCATTATGCAATATTTATGTATAGTTTATATTTTCGGGTAATTTTGCATCTAATTCACTATATTTAGAACTGGGAAATACATTTACTTATGGTGGTTGGGTTCTCTACGTGGGTCTCTCAAAAACAGAGATAATTTGGCAGCCTCTGCAGGGCCAGACTCTGTGTTATCACTAGAATAATTTGGCATATACATATGTTCATTTGACTGCCGCAAATTGCCGATGCCGAATCTATTAGACAGATGCACGTTTCAGGCAAAGAGTGCTCTCAATTATATCCATCGGCTGGAAATCCGGATCAATAAATTGCTCGTGGTTTAAACACCGTGTCCCGCCCATGCATGTGCAGGAGCACAGGGACACCGTCTCATCGTTCTCGGTCGTGTAGTTGTTTTCCAAGAGCTTGCCGTGCATGTTGTACGTAGACTCGTCATCAAATGTGAGTGGCTGGTTGCCAGCAGCAAGATTTTGTGCATCCTGTTCGTCCCTCTTGGCGTCTTCGGCTTGCCTATAGCGAAAAAAAAGGATACAAAATAATATTATTGCTCAGATCTTGAACTTGATTTAAAGAAGGACTGACATTGTCATGAATCGTAGTACAAGCAAGTTAATACTGGCGGCTACCACTGCTAGTCCAAACAGTATAAATACCAAGCTTAGGGCCACATATCCGGGCTTGTTCGTCAGCGCCTGGTCATTTTGAAGGGCCACATAGTCTCCAAAACCAATAGTGGTCAGCGTGACAAAGCAGTAGTAAAAGCTGTCAAAGTAGCTCCAGCCCTCATAGCGAGAGAAAACCGCTGCTCCGGTCGTTATTATAATCGAGGAGAGCATTCCAGTGGCCAACATCAGGTTCATTTCAGTCGCGTCAGTGCATCGCGCTCCACTTGCCCGCTTCGCGCGTCTAATTATCACGGATGCAAACTTGTTTAAGCGCTCACCAATGGACTGGAACATAACCAACCCAAGGGGAATGCCCACCTAAAAGGGAAACATATATTAGCTTTAGATAAACGAGAGCAACTTGTGCTAGTTAATAAGTATTCAGGACCGATCATACCATCGCATAGAACATTGTAAATAACTTTCCGGCCACAGTCGTTGGCGTGGAGTGTCCATATCCTGAAAAACATAAATGTTCCGCACATACATATACATATAGACGCACACATATGCATTTATATATACACATATATTCACGTATAAGTCTTAAGCCGTTTTAGATTTGTGAAAAGAAATCAAATACATATCAGACCGCATTTGCTTAGCACTTTATATATACCAGTCTCAAAAAAGACCGTCTTTATAAGTTTGACACTTTGCAATTAATTATTTATTGAGTTTGACAAAATTTGATCATAACTAGATTATTTGGCACCAAAGTAATTGAAAAGTCGGTTCACATAAAGTTATTACAATAAGCTAGCAAACTATTCATTAATATCCTAATGATCTGATCATTACTAATGATTTTTAAATGTACACAATTAAATATTATAGTGTCTCGGTTCTTATACTGATATGTGTTTGACACGCGTCATTTAAGTTTTTATATTTATGTTTTAAAAACTTGATGTATTTCATAAGCTTTATAATTACGTTTTTTTTTATACTTAAATCAATACAATTTAATTGCATTAACATTATTTGTAATATTTACCAATCATTGCTAGCACCACAGTGGCGAAATAAAATGCGCCAGCGAATTTCCACTGAGGTCCCGCCTTGTGTGGTTTGTTCTCTATTATTACTATTTCGATCATCCGGTAGTCTTCTGCACTCACATTGTATTTCTCAACGAAATTATTCTTTATCGCTACGGCATGAGAACAAAATTTGATCCGAATTCCAATATCAATATTCAAATTCAGGGCCAATTATTAAATGAAAAGCAGCATAGCATTAAAACAAGTCGGGGGTGCCCGACTAGAGGATACCCTGAACCTTCTTCAAGTTTAACACTTTTCAACCTATTCAATGGCAAAAGGGATACCTAGCATTATTTAAAACGGTGTTAAGCCACCGAGGAAACTACTTGCCATTTCTATATACATCCATACCAAGAACTGATATTGCTTTAAGAGAAACTAAACTAAAACGATTCTATTATGTATGTTTATGTATAGAAAAGTTCTTGTGCTTTGCGACACGTCTTCAATAGCTTCTGTGTTCCGCAAATGATCCCAAGGAAAGTGCTCGCAGTAGATCTTTTTCTACAGATTATTAGTATATTCGAAAAAAGACATCAGTCTCCAATTGGAATTTTCACTTTTTTGATTTTGCTTTAAAAGGGATCGCTGTCCAGAAAAAGTGATAAGCTTTGGACCTAATGAAACCAAAATTCGATATACATTCTAATCGATTGCCTGGAAAGAGGGCAAGTAATCTATGATTTAAAAAACTCGCACTGCGCGGGCATGAAAAAGACCTACGTTCAAGTCGCCAGCTGTTATAAATTCTGAGATCGACGCGTTCATACATACGGACATATAGTCGAACATGGTTAGATCGACTCAACTATTGATGTTGATCAGGAATAAATATGCTTTACACACATTTGCAAAAAGCCTTACAACCTTTTTACGCATTTTGATTTGGTTTAGGGTATTCAAAATTATAGGTATTTGGCTAATTTGTTATTCGAATTTTAAATAAAAACATAAATACATAGCATGTCTTTAATCTGTTACAAAAATAAAAGGTAATTGTTGGTTTCATTTTGACGGGTGATTGCGAATGGTAGTTGGTGCATTTGAATCTTGCCGGGGATATATACTGATCACATATATGTATATGTACCTTGCAAAAATTCCCAACGCTTTGCTTCAGTTTGTGATTCAAGCGAGTCAAAGACTGCCGCTCCGATGAGCAAATAGGTAAATGTGCACACCACCAGCGACAGGGTTCTAACGTTCTGACGCTTCATGGCGCAATGGACAACAAATTCTAAAGCTGTATGGCGACAAGGTTCAATTAGCATTTAAATGTCAAGCTCAAGGCATGGGCGCAGCTCGAGGACGTAGTTAATGCAAAGCTCAGATCTTTCATTGCACAAGGCTACGTTACTTATTTATAGCGCTTGCTTGTGAATGCCTCCTCCGTGTTGGATGCTGCCAAGGATTCTGCACAAATCGATATACCTGCGCACACATACACACGAGCAGCTTGAGATACAACGCTTTACTCTATTCTCCTGGCTTCAAAGCTCGGTGCAATGCTGAGCTCACAATTTGCACATGTAACGCCATTATGATATCACTATGTTTATATTTCCACTGATATCTGGTTTTATAAATTAACCGAAAGCCGATACGCTTTGCGGGAAAATCGGAAAATGAAGGGCAGGGCTGTCACCTCGCTCGAAGTGAGACTGGTGGCAGCCCTATTTTTCGCTTATCGATATATCGGGTAATCGCTTAGCTTGGCATTTGTTTATCTGAAAAGACCACGCAAGTCTTTTGGGAAGTATATAAAACAGCAGCGTCGCTACTTTTTCAAACCTTGTGGGCATCAATGCCCAATTAATATAGACATGCTGCGCATTCGTCGTCGCTTTGCGCTACTCATTTGTTGTGGCTGTCTCCTAATTTTTCTCAGCCTATATGTAGTTCTTAATTTTGCGGCACCGGCTCCGAATGCGAAAAAGGTAATGTGCTTGTGAGGTTGGTTTGGGGGGATTTTCTTAAGTAGCAACTCTGTAATTAACTTATATGTTGACAGCCAAATTATGTTGCGCTTGAGAATAAGCTGCAGCAAATGGAAAATGGACTGCAGCAAGATGGCCACGAAATGCGAGATTCACGCGAACGTTCTGCAAAAAGACCGGCCGAAACCAGAGAAAATGACGATATTCTAGCCGTCGATTCAGTCAACAATGAAGCCGACGAAGCTGGAGAATGTGCTGACGTAGTGCATCAGGTGCCGCAAGTTGATGTGCAAATGCTCCAATTATATGACCAAATGTCGTTTGCCGATATTGATGGCGGCGTTTGGAAGCAAGGGTGGAACATAAAATACGATCCGCTCAAGTACAATCAACATCACACGCTGAAAGTGTTTGTTGTGCCGCACTCCCATAACGATCCCGGCTGGATTAAAACGTTCGAGGACTATTATAACGCTGGTGAGCCAATCTCAAGTTCTATACTAGTCTTACTCGGCTTTCGCGGCACTACTGAATTTTTCAATTTAAATGCCTTGCTTAAAGCACTTCTACAATCCCCTTTGTTTTGGATACATGCTTCAAAGTTTTGAAACATTTGCGCGACAAAAGCAAGCCAATGTTAACAGTATATTTTCAATTTTCAATTCGAATTTTGCTGCAACACTTTAATTAACATCTTCCAGAGATACTTACTCTATGATAACCGTTTCTTATTTGAATTCAGTGAGTTGTGAGACGCTTAATTTAGCTCGAAATTGCTGAAAAATTTTATAATCAAACAGGTTTTTTTTAATTAAAGAAATCAGTTTATGATTATTGGAGACAATATGATGTTGATTAACCAAGTTTTAAGCAAACTTTAAAATTTTAAATTTAGAGACTATCTACTATACCTTACTTTTTTGTGGTGGAAGTTGTCTCCTCAAAAATTTAACACTTTCCTAATGATAAGCTGATAAAATTGAAACTATCATTTTTGGTAAAATCAGTAAACATACATACTAGACACGAATTTTTAATTGCTTTGACTGAAGTTATCAATTTTTTCTGGCAGATACAAAGCACATCTTATCGAATGCGTTGCGGCATCTAACTGAGAATCCTGATATGAAATTCATTTGGGCTGAAATTTCATATTTTTCACGTTTTTTTGAGGATTTAGGCGAA